ACTGATGGAGCCCAATGCTTCCAAAATTAGTTTCCCAGGGGATCTTATTAACAACTTCCCTGAATAGCCTGAAATCTACTCTCCCTATATCCAGCATTGAGGTTTTGGTGGCAGTTTTCCTCCTATCACTTACTTTAAATACAACCACTTCATGGCCACTATGGCCAAGATGGCCACCAATCGGTCTTTCACTAAATGGTGTTTAAGGTACCTTCCAATCTAAGTCATTCTAAGTCTGTACTATTTTTTCCCTCATAATATTAGGCTTTATAATTTAAATGACAGCTATAATGGAAACTCAATGAAAAGAATCCCAAAAATCAACAGCTTCAGAAATAAGCAGATGAAACATCATCTAACAAAAACGACTGTACTTATATTACCATGCAGTTTAATTCCAGCTAAGAATTAATGCACAATCTTTGCCTAATTATGTACTAATTTGTCAACATTTTCTTCAGCATAAGCTTTCTTACCTTTCTAAAACGTTACTTAAATAAGCTTTCTACCTGATCTGCTTCTTTACACACAAGACCAATACTCAAAATGAAATAGTAGTATTGAACTAGTTAATTTTTTAATCATGATTTTTTGCAGCAGCAGAAATATTATTAAACTGAAGTCACTGTCACAATAAAAATTGCAGAGATGTTCCCTAAACAAAAATGGGGAACAGAAACAAAAGATTTCAAACAAAAACATTTTCAGTCCGTTCAAAAAAAAACTATGGATTTATTAAGTTAGAAGAATAGAAGTTAGTTGCCAAAAGCAAGTCTATTTCAAAAAGAAAGATCACACTATATCAAGTACATTGTGCTGTGAAAAAAAAAAAAAAGAGCCTGCTTAATTTCCAGAAACTGTTGACGATGGGAAAAAATGTGCATAACCACAACTGGAGTTTTCCAACTACAATGCTGTACTCAAAACTGTGTGGTAAATTAAAGAAATAGCAGAGGAAAAATATGATCCAGTTCTTAGTGAATCATCAAAAACTGCTGTCTGCCACTAGACCAAAGATCGTAAGTCTTATCAGCTAAACAATCTATCCAAATAATTAAGTTCCCACTTAGAAGGCTAGAACTCAAGCACTATTTTCTCTTCTAGAACCAAGTGTTCCTTTTATGATTTGTAAGTTAGAGAATGCCACTTACTAACAGAATTATTAAGACAAAACAGATAATCTGCATCGAAAAACAGAATATGGATAATAAAAACTGAGAGATTCTTTTAATCTAAAGTATCATATTAAAGCTCAAGTGAACCACTACGTACTACATTAATCTTATTAACACCTTTCTGATTTTCCTGTTCACATGACAGATTTGAAATGTATTATAAAGACTTTCAGTATACATTGTGAATCTACCAGAATTACTTTTATGTTTGCATACACATTTTCCAGGTATTTATAAAGAAACCTGCAATAATAAAAACTCATCTCCCAAAAACCTGCTTATATCCTTGTCGCTCCCTATGACATCTGAAAAGCTGTAGCAATCAGGTGAATCCCCTGGTGACTGGAAAAAAGGTAACACCATACCCATTTTTAAAAAGAGTAAAAAAGATGACCCCCCTAAGAACTGCCAACCTATCAGTCTCATCTCTGTGCCAGGGATGATAACGGAGCAGATCCTTCTGGAAGCTATGCTAAGGCACATGGAAGGCAGAGACATGATACAGAAGAACTAGTATGTCTTCACCAAGGGCAAATCCCTCTCAACCAATCTAGTCACCTTCTATGATGGTGTCACTCAATCAATGGACAAGGGAAGAGCTACTGATATCATCTATCTGGACTTCAATAAGGCTTTTGACACAGTATCCTTCTCTCCAAACTGGAAAGAAATGGATTTGATAAGCAGACTGTTCAGTAGACAAAGAGCTGGCTGCAGGATCGAGTCCAGAGAGTGGTGGTCAATGGCTTAATGTCTGGATGGAGAACAGTGATGAGCGGTGTCCTCTATGGATCAGTGCTGGAGCCGAAATTCTTATAATCATCAATGACATTGACTGCAAGTTTTCTGATAACACACCAAGCTGTGGAGTGCAGTTGACACACCAGAGGGATGGGATGCCATTCAGAGGGACCTAGAAGGCTTGAGCAGTGGGCCCAGGTGAACCTCATGAAGTTCAACAAATCTAAGTGCAAGGTCTTGCACCTGAGTCAATGCAACCCTCACTACCAACACAAACTGGGGGGATATAAAGACTGAGCTCAGCCCTGCCGAAAAAAAACTTGGGGATACTGGTGAATGGGAAGCCAGACATGAGCCAGCAATGTGCCCTTGCATCCTGGACTGCATCCGAAAAAGATAGGCCAGTAAGGCAAGGGAGGTGTTCCAGCCGCTCTACTATTCAGTGGTCAGGCCCCACCAGGAGTACTGCATCCAGATGTGGAGTCCTCAGTACAGGAGAGACATGGACCTATTGGAGCACATTAAAATGATGCGTAGAATGGAACAGCTCTCCTATGAGGACAAGCTGAGCGAGCTGTGGCTGTACAGCCTGGAGAAGAGAAATCTGAAAGAAGACCTGATAGCAGCCTTTCAGTATCTAAAGGGAAAAATACAGGAAAGAAGGAACAGACTCCTTGGCAGGGTCTGTGGCAATAGAACAGGGGGAACTGGCTTCAAGCTCAAAGAAGGTAGATTTAAGTTAGATATAAGGAAAAAGTCTTTTACAGTGAGAGTGGTGAAGCACTGGAACAAGTTACCTAGTGTTGTGGTTGATGCCCCATCCCTGGGCACTTTCAAGGTAAGGCTGGATAAGGCCCTGGGCAAACTGATCTAGCTGTGATGTCCCTGTTCTCTGCAGAGTTAGACTAGATGGCATTTAAAGGTCCCCTCGAACTCTAAGGATTTGATGATTCTATCTTCCTATTCAATTGCTTTCATATGGTACAGATAGCTGCAAGATAGTTCTAAACTATGACTACAATTACTAGTTTTTCTTTAATGAATATCTGCAATTGAAGAAAAACATGATCAAGTGACTAATGAACTTCAGAGCTTCAAACATCCATTATCTATAGAACTAAAAAGAGTTCAGAGAATGAAGTGGAAAAACTTATTGAACAACAAAGTCTGTATTCCGGTTCTGCTACTTATCTTAAAACTGTAAAACTCCGTATTTACATCTTGGTATTTTGTGTTCTCTGAGAAACACAGATGCATTTAAAAAAAAAAGTCATGGGAGCTTCCCGTATTTTCATAGAACATGAAATGACAAGATGACTGACAAAGCTTCTCACAAAAACCTAGTATTTTATATTTATTTGCAAGAGAGAAGGCAAAAATATATGTCTAAGTTAAGACCCTTTCTAACAACATTAAAGCTTACCTTTAAGTCCTACCCCCACACTTCTGCCAATGTATAGAAGCAGTCTATGATTGGAAAGTCTTTAAAACAAAAGGCAACACCTCAATCAGTGGGGCAGTAGGGAAAACTTAAGCTGAGACTAATACTGGAAAATATCTCCTGTGATCGTTCAATGAAATCACTCCAATGCAGACCTGAAAAGCCAATAAAGCCTATGAAATCACAAGAAAAATAACTGGCTAAGTTGTCAAAGTCAGACTAATGAAATCTTCTCAGAACTAAATAAAACAAACTCACAATGACAATAATAATAATAGAGTCTCATCTAAACATTACCTACTTTAAAGATCTGACCACCTGTTTGGCTCTATTACCTCCCAACCAGCCTTTGCAAATACGAAATATATTGAAACTTCTGTCATCTGTGATTAACAGTCAGTTAATTTAGGAAGTATAAAACAGCATGAAGTAATGCTCTTTCAGATGTATTACATGCTAGATCTATCATATACAACAATTGTTACCATCAAATGCTAGAATAAACATATACAAAGAATTAAGTCACAGAATCATAGAATGGTTTGGTTGGAAGGGACCTTTAAGATCATCTAGTTCCAACCCCCCTGCTATAGGCAGGAACACCTCCCTCTAGACCAGGTTGCTCAAAGCTCCATCCAGCCTGGCCTTAAATGCCTCCAGGGTGGGAGTATCACAGCCTCACGGTGTAACCTGTTCTAGTGTCTCACCACCCTCAGAGTAAAGAATTTCTTCCTAATATCTAGTCTAAAACTATATTCTTCGAGTTTAAAACCACTTCCCCTCATCCTGTTGATGCATGCCCTTCTAAAATGTCCCTCCCCAGTTTTTCTGTAGGCTCTCTTCAGGTACTGGGAGGTCACTATAAGGTTTCTCCACAGCCTTCTCCAGGCTGTAGAGCCCCAACTCTCTCCGTCTGTCCCTGCAGGGCAGGTGCTCCAGCCCTGTGACCACCTTCGTGGTACTTTTCTGGACCAACTCCGCATGTCTTTCCTGTGCTAGAGGCCCCAAAACTGGATGATGCAATACTCCAGGTCTCCAAGTTTATGCACATTCATAGCACAGAACTCAAGAATAATTTCAGTTAAAAGTCTTAACCTGAAAACTCACAAAACTATCCCAGAATCATCACTACACTCAGATTTTCAAGTCAATAGAACTAATAACTGGCTGTTTCTACCATTAAAAAAAAATGTTCACTGACATCTGTACTCTGTATCAGACAAACTTGCACAGTGTGTGCCACAGATATTGTCCTTTGTGTCGTACAAAGAAGACAGAAACAATTGGCATTACAAGCAGTACAAGCTTCAAGAAATTAATCTCATCTTGCAGCTTTTAGAAGCGCGACTCACTTTTGTTCTCTAATTTGATTTGATCATATCCAGAAGACAAAATATATGAGTTTTTCTAACAAGTTAAAGGTTATGACTTTTTATCTGTTGCTCTTGAAAACAGCAGAGAAATGGATGATGCAGACTGTTAAACCTGCTAATGTAAAAATCAGGTTTTGATTTGAAGACCCTAAAAATTCTTCAAATTTTGGAGCAGGCCTGTAGATACTGAGAGGATTTGTACAACATAAACACACTTCATACAGAACACTTGAAAATGCAAGCATACTGCAAGAAATGAAATGAAATTACCTGAAGTATCTTGTAATGATCTTGATGTGAAATAGCTTTTTCTTTTTTCTCCTTCAAGAAATTCATTTCTTGAACACTATGTTTTTCCAGTAAATATTCTAATTCCTGTAAAGATTACAAAATATAATAAAAGCAGTAAAAATGTTTGTGAGCTGTGAAAATATAGATTTAGGTCATTGTTCCAACTAGCTTCAGTTCTGAAGACAATAACATTTTGTATCATAACATCAGAAGATACTTAAAGTCAAGCATTTCCATATTTCAAGTGGTTTCTGTCTTTCTACAGTTGAAAACCTTAAGTACTTTTAGAAAATGGTTTACTAAAAGGCACCTCCATCTCCAAAATGACTAGAACCTTAATGTAACCAATTCCCAACATGATCCAAATAAATGGAAGGAAAATGGCACTACTGACTACTAATTTCCAAAATTATTTGCTGTACAAAAAGCTAAAGACCTTTTTTTTTTTTTTTTCCATGTAGCTGTTGCTGCTACCATATGCTTCTCTATAAGTAAGCTGTGGACACCTTTCAGTTGCTCAAGAACAACTATTTTCTCAACCACTGAAGAAGCCAATTTAGAAACAAATGAGCAGCCAAACCACTGGATAGCTATTAAAAAAAAAAAGTGCAACTGAGAAAGTCAAAAGGAGGACAAAAGGAGCAGGTAGGCTTAGCTCATTCCTGGATGAAAAAAGGACAGCATCTGAGATTCAGAGTCTGATTTCAAGCATAGAGAAACAGACTTTGCAACACTTCTGTATGTATAGCAGGCATGTCCAACCCACAGCCCACGGGCCACATATAGCCTGGCCCAAACTCGTTCTGTGGCCTGCTCCCTCCTCCCTGACACCATCATGGTGGTGGCTCTTCCCCACTGTGTGGCCCAGCCTAGCCCCAAGTGTGCGCCCATCACTCAGTCACAATCACACAATCAGTGTGCAATGGGCACTTTTGAAGCTCAAATCAGCACAAGGTGGGGTGGAGGGAGACAGTGGAGTGCATAGTGCAGCATTAAGGCAAAGAATTATATGCATTTTGGTAATTGGCTATATGCAGTCCTTTGAACAGTGAACAATATGCAACCTTGATTTCTATTCTGACAAAGGAATTTGTCAAAAGGTTTAAAGATTGCTTAGAAAAATCACCATCTTTTTTCATATATTTAAAACTACATTTTCAGTTGACATAAATGCATTACTTGCAAGTTTTCAAATATATAAGAATATATGGAGTTGCAATTAGACATTCAACTCGAAGAAAAATCTGATAATGTCTCTCTACTAGACTTTAATAAGACCTTTCTGATGAGAGAAAAATATCCCTTGCTTCACAATCACACCTTATTCATGCCATCACTTTTTTTTTTGGCAGTACGTGTATTTATGAACAGCTGTTTTTAAGGGTAAAGGACAAGAGTGAAACTCTTTGATGAACAAACACCTTGAGAGCTCACTAAGAAGTGCAAACACTTTCAATGCCAGTGAACAAGGTTTGTTAGTTATACAATGTTGTTAAAGTGGCCCAAGATAATTCCTCATCACTCAATGAGGCCCAGAGATGCCAAGAGGTTGGACACCCTTATATAAAATAATATTATATAAAAATTTATATATAATATAAATATTATATAAGTATTAATATAATATAATATAATATAAATATTATATATAAATATATATAAAATTATATAACAAATAATGTTTATTTCTTTGTATGTCTCTCTTATGTGTACTCATGCTATTCTTACTTCCCTTTTGGTATGCTCTTAACTTCCAGGAATATCAATTCACAGTAGATCTTCCCAATCCTGTCTTAATTACCCATTTCCACCTTCATTTTTATTTCCAACAAATCACTCCCTTCTTCCCTAGCACACCTTGGTTCCTATTGATGGATAGTATTAAGTATACAACAAATTTAACTTTCTTGTGGTAAGAGATTTGGTCTGAGTTAATGTCTCGAAAACTAGGCAAGAAAAGAAGATGTTGCAGTCAACTGCAGGATCACCTGTGAGAGGCTGAGGTGTTGCCCAGCCTCTCCCCTGGAAGATCCTAGAACAACAGACTGAGTATATGTGAACCACGTAATAAAACGTATAAACACCACTGGATGACCACAACTGTCAGCGGAGACCATAGCTGGATCCACTTTTTCTCCTTTTCACTTTTCTTTCACTGTTGTAATTCTGTTGAGTCATAAGTAAATTTGTGATTTATCTCAAGTAATAGTCATTAGTCCTGGTTACCAGAGAATTAAAAAGGTAATCTCACCCTAGCCCACCAAGAGTATAGGGCACTTACTCTCTAGCGTGACCTTTGATTTACTCAGATACACAACAACTGTACAACACTCAGTGTGGAAGCAACAGGAATTTAGTTACCACATCTCCCAAGAGGAATTTAAAAAAAAAAAAAGCATTATATTTGTATAGACAGCCAAAGGCACTTCCAACTTCATAGACCACACACACTCCCACAACATTGTTAAGACTTCGTACCATATGATTTTACACTGTGACATTTTGTCTTTCTAAAAACTGGCTCAGTTTGGTTATTTTCTCTTAGAGAGCTTTGTAAATGTAAGATTATTTATTTGTTTGTTTGTTTGTTTGTTTGTTTGTTACAAAAAAAAGAAACATACCTTTTTAATTTTTAATTTTTCTTCTTCAGCAGCACAAAGATTGATTTCTAGATTTGCTAGAGTTTGTTGAAGGCAGCTCTTTGATTCGTTTGTTCTCTGTGTCTGAGCATCATCCGTAGCAATGGATGATGTGACTAAAGACTTATCTTCTGTTAAATTCAAAGAGGCAACTGGAATATCTACTTGAATCTAATTTAGAAGGAAAACAAAATGGTAAAAGAGATAGCAAAGAGAATTTAATATTCCAGTCAAGTTAAATTTCATTTCCAATTGAAATTACAGATCTTAATAAATGTAAACAAAGAGGTTATTTATTTGTAATCATACTTTGTTGACATCATACATATGAGAGGGTGCATGAATAATGTGCTAGCCAAAAAGGAAGCTCCAACAATGGCACAGTAGCTAGAAATTCTACACGCATTCAGATCAGTTCTTCACATCTCCATTTCTTTTTCAAGAAATACTTTGTAGAATGCTTTTAAGAAGGAGGCTGACATCAGATACTTCCGTTCTGAATGAGGTCAAAATACTAAAAATATGTGAAAAGGGGACAAGAGTGAAACAAAAATCATTGGTCTCAAAGCATCAGGCTTGCAGAGAAGAACTCTCCATGGATTAGTCACTCCTTGTTTTTCATCCAATGAAGAATACAAACAGTAGCCATAGAAAGTGAAGTGATTAAATAGGTTTTAATTAAAATCAGAATACATTTTTTTAGCCAAAATAAAAATACTGAGAGTACACCAACAGAATAAGAGTAACTGAGACGTCTGCAACAGTTAGCTAATGCTATTTCTGTAAACTGCACAAGTGCAAGAACTGAAACAGAGGCCTCTTGAATGTACTACATAAGACAGAGAGTACATTAACGATATCATACTTTCAGCAAAGCATAAAAATAAATTAGGCAAAATTTTAAATGTTTCATGGTACAACTAACAGAAGATACAGCTTCATTTTTTTTTCCCGATTGAAAAAAAAACACCAAACACCTTACTTGTTTGTATAGCTGCAGAGGAATTTCAAAGGAAAAAGCTAGTACATTAACTTCAGCTACCATTTGTTTTCTAACAACTTTTTGAAAGCTAACAGCACTTGAGATTTAGGGGGGGTAGCAAAGGAACATCTCAGTATGTTTTTTAGGAGAGGACTGAATGGTATGATGTAGTCCATTCCCCTAACACATTTTATTAAAGCAATCACTAAAGTAATCAACTGACTTTTTCATTACTAGATTCAATGAAAAACAAGCAAAAATAGCAGAGACCTTGACTGTACAAGAATGTGTAAGAATCCAGAATATACAACAGGCAGAAAGAAATCTGCAGTTTGTTCTCTCAATTCACTTTCTGTCAGAAACAAAGAGGATCTAGATTTGGCCTGAGACCCCCGAAATAAGGACAAGGACCTGTTATCCAAAGTCAAGAGAAGGCCAAAACCATGATGAAAGGGCTGGAGCACCTCTCCAATGGAGTCAGGCTGAGAGAACTGAGCTTGTGCAGGCTGGAGAAAAGAAGGATCCAATGAGACAGCCTGGAAGTATTTAATGGGGACCTACAGGAAAGATGGGGAGGGACTCTCTTAACAAGAAGTGTAGTGATAGGACAAGGGGTAATAGTTTCAAACTAGAATGAATTATTTACTCAGAGGGTGGTGGAGCACTGGCACATGACGCCCAGAGAAGCTATGAATATACCTCACCCCTTGGAAGTGTTCAAGGCCGGGATGTATGGGGTTTGGGCAACCTGATCCAGTGGGAAGTGCTCCTGCCCAGGTTGGGTAGGGCTGAAATTAGATGATCTTTAAGGTCCCTTCCAAACCAAATAATTCTGTCACTCTTTGATTCTCTGAATTTAAGAGAAAAAAATAAAATTCATTCTAATTAAGGGGAAAAATAAATATTAATTCTCTAACTGTAATATCACTTAAGAATTAAACAGAAGTATATCTTTACAGATTTAACAGTAATATATATATATGCACACACACATATATATGTACAGAAATTTTTGCAACCAGTTCCTATTTTCATTTCTAGTACTATAAACAGGCCTTTAATATACCTATCAATCTTGCAGTCCATACCAAACCAGTATGAAATCTCCCAATTGGAAGACTTACACACTATTCTCCTATGTCCCAAACTCCTACGGAATCAAAAGTTTACTTGAGAATCTAAATCACAAAAATCAAAGGGCCAGCATTTGCTCTTAAAGCACAAACTAAATTTGTATAGAAAAAAATGTAATGCTCAGATATTTAATACATCAAGTTATCCTGTTGAAATACAGATTGCGATTGCTGTTTTACCTGTTCTTCAAGAACAGCTGAGTTTATCACATTGTTGGCTGTTTGAATAGATGTTGCCACATTATCACTTGATGAAGTGAATGAGTCAGAAGGATCCAGGAAGGATGAAGGCACACAGTGCTCCAGAAGAACATCAGGAGAAACATTCTGAGCTATATGGACTTCAAACTCTAATGCAAGAAATAGAAACAGAAAAACAACAAACAACTTGAAGATGCATTCAAAAATTATGTTTCTGAAATCTAAAATTTCACAATAGCAAAAAGTTTAAGGATTCATAGTCAAATAAGACTATGTAACTTTCACAAACTAATTGTGCTGAAATGTAACTCCATACAAAGTTTGTTTATTTTTAAGTACTACCATGTTAACAATATGCAAATTTATACAGTCACACTAAATTTAGACTTGTAATTTACAAAGAGGTTTCAGGAGGCAACTGCCATCCTTATCTATTGTCTCTTCTCAGAGCATTTTAGTTTTAGCATGATCTCAAATCACTTTAATTCAACTGTAAAAACATATTTGCTAGTTCTTAACTTTCATAAATTTTTACCAAGACACTTGATAAAAGCAAGTATTCATTTTAGAACAGATCAAAAAAATAACAATATAGTTATCTTTTGATAACAAGTTGGTAATTTTACAGCTAGTAAAGCAAAAATGTAATTAAATATTGGTGCGAGTTCTTTCGTAGCAATTGCCATTTATGCTGCAAGAAAAGGAAGAGAGGATATTTACCAACCCTGCACTACAGAAACTAGAGTGCTTTTACGACAGATTCAGATACACGTTACGTAAAAAGAAATCCTTGTTTACTTTCTTAATTTAACAACAAAATCCTATGATCTTTTATTTTCACAATTCTGCCCATACACGATGTTTCTGTGATTAAAACTGTTAGCACAAACACAAAAACCTAGTGCAACACTGATTCCCATGTTGTTACCATCCATGCTTTGGTTATGATTACTAGAATACAGCCACTGTTCAAACAAATAATTTATCACAAAAGTAAAAAACATGAGACTGGGACACATAAGACAGCTTTTCAAATCACACAGTGGTTTTTTTGTGGAACTTTTATAATCAAGTTGAGCTTTCAGTGACTTTAAATAATAAAAGTTTCAAATTTTGAGGAGAAAGAAAATAAATAAATAAATAAATTCAAAATATTCTCAATTCCTCAACTGTCAAAACAAAGCCTGGAAAACAAGGAGCAACAAATGATACCAACTCTGAACACTATGGTTTCAACTAAAACACATGATCCACGTGATCTTGCAGAAGACAAGGAATAAAGGAAAAAGGACAAGGAAAAACCTCTGAGGTATCTTTTTTATTTTTTTCCCTCCCAACAAAGCTTTTGCTTTCAGCAGCATGGACTCATCATTCTAGGAAAACCTAATTAATATTAGCTATGTCTGTAATTCAAGCTCTCAACACTTTTTTTTTTTTAGTTCAGCTTAAAACATCCTTATGAAGATCACCCTTCAATCCTGAATAATATTATGCTTATGTTTCTTAAATTATTATGCTTATGTTTTGTACTCCTAGATTGTGAGTGTCTTGCTGTGTTTTCTCTCCAAGAGATCCTGAAGTGTTTAACATCCCTCAGAGGGGTGAAGTAAGCTGAAGAAGGCCTCAGTTACAGCAGGCAAAAGCAGCAATGTCAGCTGTGTTGGTCTGCCCATTAATTCAGACTCATAAATTCATGACTGATTGCCTACCCCAAAACAGAGTTCTGTGCCTTCCAGCTACTCTCTTACAGAAAAGGATACTCCCTGCCCCAGCTTTCGATTCTTAAAGGGCCTACTCTTCATCCATTCCAACATTTTAGTCATTCGAGCTATCTCCATTTTGTCTGTGATCCCAACGAGATCATAGTTCTGCGCACAGCCTTCTAATTGCTCCAGTTTGATCATCACATACTGTGTTTCAGTGTAGCAGACACTTCAGAGAGGCCCCGTTAGTACTGATTTCTCAAAAGAGAAATGAGAGCTCTGCTAATAACTACACGCATTATGTGTGCATACCTGGGGTGATCCCAGTTCAACATCTTTTCTATTTCCATCTACTCAGACCCTCTGCTTGTCACTCTGTTCACCATTTCCTCACATAGTCACTCCTCCCCATCTCCTAGTTTAAAATTTCATGAACTTGTTTTGCTTTTATTTTTTTCAGCTTCACATATTACTGTTAACAAACATGAAAAAGAATTTACGCCATATCGGTTCAGAATACAGCCTGCATTACAGATTAAAACTAAACTTTCACTTATATCATCTGATAATTCACCTGCATACAGGTACAAACAGGGTTTTTCTTTCAGAGTAACAAAATTAAGACTTACAAAAGGAAAACAGATTGGTTCATAACAGTCTACATACATTGCTCTGAGAGTAATAAGCCTTATTTGTGTTCATGGAAATTGCAACAGATACAAAGAGCACTGTTTGATGGAACTAACAAACTTTGTAACTGTTTCTCAGCTGTTTCACCAACATTAGATACATGTTTTTGTCAACGATGAACAACAGCCTGTACAAAGAGTCTGTACACTGTGTTTATAAAAATCTACATGGCTGTCCAGAAGGTGGTTTATCTTTCACATTGCTGTCATTACAGCTGAAATGCACCACCTCTGAAACCCATCACTCATCACCTCACTGTGCTCACATTCTCTGTTTGGCCTCCATAAACATTCAGCAAACATCAATGAATGCCAGTGGGTGCCATTTTTCTGCATGGAGGAATTCAGTGACACAGCTTTGCTTCATACGCACTATCACATCAAACATCATTTCATCAAACTGATCCTCTGCTGTCACCTGTTGCATAGCAGAAAAATGTAATGGAATACTGGTGGGAAGTTTAAATCTCTACTACCATACCACCAATATCTGCCTCTGACATTGTGAGCCAATATAATAAAATGGGAGGCATTACATTTAGATCAGCCTTCATTCTCAGCCCTTGCAACAAACCCTCCATACTCAAAATTGAGAGTTTTCTTTGAGTAAAGCAGTTCCTTTTTTTGTTTTGTTGTTGTTGTTGTTTTAAATCCATGATTGACTTAAGGGCCAATCAGAATTTTAATTGGATAAACTATACTTATCTTTCTCACTTGTATTCCTCAATAAAGTGCAACTTTGAGAAGTACAACTTCTGAAAATAATTACTCAGAAACATTCTTACGCCAATCTTTCACTCTCATCCTCTATTTTATTGCATATATACACTCATGCACTAGCACTTACAATGAACAGAGAACAGTAATACATTATTAACAATTTCAACCCTGGGCTTCCTATTTATTGTTTTTCAAAATCAATACCTGTAGGAAATGCTGCCCATGGAATAGCAGGAGATGTAGTCTGCTTGTCACCATTTCCACACTCATAGCTCTCTGCTGCCTACAAACACAGAAATAAAAATTACACGTTTTATAAAATGCTATACATATAGACAGGAAAGTAAGTTTCTAAGTAATTTTTCTAATTGCACTGAGCATGCATCTTACTGTCAGAAAACTATAGAGTTGAATCAAATATAAATAATCTATGGAGCACGTACAAGGAGAGCGTGTTAGAACCAGAGAACTAAAAACTCTCAGTCAGCAACATAAAAATGTCTGAGCAATGAAGCAATATAAATGTAGTAGTATAATAGAGCAGATACATGGTATGTATAGAAGTATGAGAGACATGTTTATCGTTGAACAAATATGAGCTATGTTTAACAAACAGAAATTTAGTTTAAGAAGATTGATGACACTTGAGAATACACTGCTTAGGAAGTTAAATAAAATCTATTTGTCATCCCTGACTTCAGCACAACTCCAGAATAAAATATTAGTTTGCATTACTAAAGTATGTAACTATTAATTTGACATTTTCATGAAGTTAACAAAATTAACAGAAGCACAGGTGTAATATATTTCTTGAAAATAATACTGTCAGAACTGTTTTCACATAAACAATTAGGTTTCAAAATTAAATCAACATACCTCAAATCCCCCAAAATCATCATCATCCATTTTTCAACAAGTACTACAGTATGGTAGAAATCCTGATTTAAAAACAAAACCAAAATCACCAATTATTTACATCCTGTTTACAACGAAATACACTGCAGGAAAATGAATACACTTCATTGGTCAGTTTCATAAGACAAATGTCTCGCAATCAACTAATTTTATGATCAACTAGGAGTCAAAAGAAAGAAACCTGACTCCTATATTGTTATGTATAATAACTCAGTTAATATACTGTACTGTTATGTATAATAACTCAGTTAAATGACAGATGGATAAATACTTGGATATAAATTCCTAGCTTATCTATTGCGCTCTTCCTAACCTTATCACCTTCACATTCAGAAAAGAGGATTCAGTCATTCAATGCTCAACTCCAACTCCACAAGCTATCTGCAATCACCCCAATGTACAAATTACACAAGACATCAAGAGTCCTATAAAAAAGAAATTAAAAAAAAATTCACACAGAGGTTACAAGTGCTACAGCTGCAAATTTCCTTTAAGAAGCAAATTTTTATTGATACAAGTAAAAAAAAGTTTGAACTTTTAAAGTTGAAATATGAAAATCTTCAAGAGAAAAGATAAGCATAATACTGAACTTCTCAAAATAAGACAGTAACAAATGCTTTTTAAGATGGAAAAATGGGAAAAATTAATTTTAAAGTTATGTCTATTGCTCTGAAACATAGCAGTCAATTCTCTAGTACCTACGTAAATGATACTAACAGCAACACAATCCAGTTGATCTCAATATATAAAAAAAAAAATTTCAGACCATTAGATTCTGAAATAAATTATTTTCTTAATAATGAACACAACTCAATTTAATGATACAGAAAAATATGCAGTATAATTTACAGCTCTGTGATCAGGAATTAAAATATAAAAAACTGTCTACTCTTAAGTTGCTTTTCCAAATCAGTACTGTAATTAAATCAAATATGTTTCCTGCTTTTCCTATTTATTCTTAGCTGTCAGCACAAACTGCAGTTCAGAAAAATCTTGCAGTGAATTTCTGGAAATCTTTTTGCTACCACAGAGGTCCTTCTCTAGGTTTCATGCAGGGGTTGATTTAGATTTTACAAACTGATCAGCATTTTTGAGTTGTAGCCCTAAATTCTGTGGTATTTTGAAATATTTATAGTTAAGCTGACATTCCTTTTACAAAACTGCAAGATAAGTTGGGTTACTTTCATTAGCAAAGTAAGATATACATGGCTGTTCATGGAAGGGTATTATACAGTGAAAAAAAACTCACCATGATGTGCAAATGAAGGATACAAAAAGACTTTTTTTTAATGTCAAAACACTTGTAAAGTTAATTGACTTCAGTTTATAGGATGGTGAAACTTAATACTACGAAAGCACATCTTCAGAAACAGAAGAATTCAAAAGGTTTGGAGGACATCTCCAGATTTCTGTCAAATTGGATACATTCAGTTTATATCCTCTGTTGAAAAAAAACCACTACCAGGAAAAGCTTAAATAAACATCTTCTGAACTTCAACATATTTATTTCCAAGTTCTTATTGATAAATTTCAATTAAATCACTATTGAAATGTAAGTAGATCTGGTTGAACTAAAAAAGAGCATGATCCAATATTTACTTTTGATTTTCAGAACTACACATCTTTTAGGGACTGCAAATGTTTAGTTTGCTTCTGAGGGAGAAGGTGATTGGGTATTTTTCCAGTCAGTATTAATCTTAACTGGTCCAACATTCACGCATTCTGTTAACATTCAGAACTTCAATATGCTACTGAAAAATATGAAATATGCAAAGATAAATCACAGCAACAAAAGAGAAATTGGAACAGCACTGCAAAATCAAGGCAGCCATGTATAAATGAGAAAGTGAACATACAGTAATAAGTGGCATTCCAAGACAAGTTGGCAACTATAAAATTTAACCTGATCTTTAATCTGAGGTACTGAAAGGAATCTGAAAATTCTGGATGAATTATTTTTACTATAGAAGGCTGCTATGTTAAATGAGCCCTCCTCTTGATTTAAAAAGAGCTTCATTGTGGAAAAGAATGTAAATTTCTACATATATAAAATCATAAGAACACTCAATAATTGCATTCTGTTTAATTTGAATTAAAATGTACAATAGTAATAGGTTTTTTGGCATTAATGATTACTGAAGTACTTCTAGTTTCATTTAACCCTCTATACAGCCTGATCTACTTTGCAACAGAAATTTTTTTTAATATACTTAACACTGTTGATTCAGCTAACAAAAATGTTTCTGTGAAAAGGTGAAACAGCTTTTTTAACTCTTACTTTTGTTGATGTGCTTGGAAAAGTCCAAACTAAGTGCTGTAGAATAAACTCAGTCTAAAAACATGTTCCTGAAATATATCTAATACTTTCAGTGAGTGACATACTTTCAGAAGGATTGTGAGGCCCCGCTTTCACGGTCTGTATTCGTACTGAAAATCAAGATCAAGCAAGATTTTGCCCTTCTGCTTCAGTGTGGCTTAGTACCTTAACAAGGGCTTATAAAGCTACGTAATAGCAACGTTCTAAACCTATTCAAAGAAACAGCATTCTTGTAGCAATCAAAGCTAAAAATCTTTAGAAAGGCAAAAGATATTTTATCTACACTATGCATGTCATGGCTTCAGGTGCGATAGGCCATACTAGAAGTTGCTTCAAAGTACCACATTCCAAATAGAAGATTTTCTCACCACAGAGCAAGAGATACTCTCTTTTTCTCAGAACCAGTTGTTAAATCTCAACGGGATAAAATACATTCCACATTTAGTACCATGTTTTATAACACAAACTGGAAGAAATTCAGAGAAATTTTGGAAAGGCACACTGAATTAGAGAAGTCGGGCTGAGGGAAGACAAACAATAATCTATAAAATATGAAAGATAATATTCAAAGAACAACACTGATCAATTAATTTAATTTATCATCACATGCACCACTTCTGTGCAGTAAGAACAGATGTCTCTGTAGGAAAAACATGTATTAAACATTAGCAAGAATTTCCAAAAAGGCAACAACAAACCACAACAAGAACACTTCTAAGAACTTAGAGATACATAAAATAGAAGTTACTTTTCACACACACACTTATTCTTATTGGGTCCATCATCTTTACATTACGTTTTACATATAGTATTCATAATTTTGAGATCATTATCAGACTTGTCTTGACTTAACACTACCTTGCTTCACAAATTTTAGCAGGCATTTCTTGGCTGTTTGGCTAGCACAATTTTGAATCATGCCTCATATAATCTAAATGGAACACAGGAAAAAAACTCCCAAAGAAATCCAAGAAGTATCAATGGTGTTTTCCACGTTCAACTGCTAATCCACTGATTTCCAAGTCTTCAGAGATTCCATATGAATTGTAGTCTAAATGGTCAACCAGCTAGGAAGGATCCCTTGCTATACAGAAAATGCATTAATATGCTTAAAGGCACCTCTGCTTTTGAACAAAAGGCTAAGCTTCTGGTCTGTAAAAAAAGAAACACTAGCCTGCCTACATATTTTGTTTAATGAAGACAAAAAAAAAAAAGAAAAATCAGAATGTAACTGCAAATTTAGCAGGTATATGAGTAAGCAATGTATAGACCAAGCCCTAATGAACTTGGACAAAAGACATTTCAGAAATTCAGTGGTTGACGAGTTCACTTTTGTTAAAGTCTTAGTATAAGAATTATTATTACAAGACACTGTCTTTCCAAACGGATATTACTTCTTGCATAAAACTTTTCTTTCCTTATAGACTGGGAACAATATTTCATAGAATCATAGAATCATTTGAATTGAAAGAGACCTTTAAATGTCACCTACTCCAACTCCCCTGCAACTGGAAGGGCATCTACTGCTAGATCAAGTTGCTCTGAGTCCCCTACATACAGTCTAATCTCAAACATCCCCAAGGATGGGCCTTCCATCACCTCTCTGGGCAACCTGTTCCAGAGCTTCATTATCTTTATTGATAAGAACTTCTTGCCCATTATCACCTCCCTGTCTTCCAAGTGTCTTAGCACAGCTTCCAGAAAGATACGCTCAATGACCTTCCCTGGCACTGTGGTGAGGCTTACAGATTGGTAGTTCCCCGAGTCATTCTTTCTACCCTTCTAAAAAATGAGTGTGACATTGTCTTTTCCACAGTCACCAGGGACCTCACTTGACTGCCACAACTACCACTGAAAGTGGTCTGGCAACTACCTCAGCCAATTCCCTCAGGACTCTCGGATGCATCTCATCAGAATCCATAGATTTATGGATGCTTAAGTTCCTTAACTGGTTGCAAACTTGATCTTTGCTCTCAGCAGGAGAGACATCACTTCCAGAGTTCCCACCTTTTGAATGATCCACTCAGGGAGTATATGAAGAGCAGCTGCCAGTGAAGACTAAGGCAAAAAAAGGTTTTGTGGCATCAGAATTGAAAAGATTACATTAAGTGCTGACAACCACAGAACGATTAAAAAAAAAGACAATAAACCAAAACAAACAACAAACCTGAAACAACAACACACAGTCTTACCATGACTAAATGTGATCTCTCAAAACATGCCTGTTACTGGAATTAAGTACCTGTAAAATTAGGTAATAAGGAATCAACCTCCAAAATGCAGACTTACAGAAATTATGGTTGGAAAAGACACAGGAGGTAACCCATGCAATTTCCAAAACATTAGCTCTCCAGACAGTCACGTCCTACAAGGGCTTCAGAAATTACTCCCAGAGTCACACTTCTGTGAAAAGAAAGCTTTTCAAGGATTACAGAGATGTAAGCCCCTGCATTTTCATTAAATAGTGGATTTTATTATCAAGTTTGTATGAAGCAAATCATACAATAATTCAGACTAGAAGGGATCTCAGCAGGTCATCTAGTCCAACTGCTTGCAAAAAAGCATGGTCAACAATGATAAGTTTGCTCAGGACATTCTCTACGACTGCTAACAGTGCATGATGCAAGTATTCAAATTTGAAGGATCTGTAACACAAGTGTTACAAGGAGTAGCCGAGGGAACTGGGACTGGAGGAAGCTCAGAGGACACCTTATTGCTCCCTACAGCTAGCTAAAGGAGGATGCAGCAAGGCAGGAGTTAGCCTCTTTTCCCAGATAACTAGCAATAGAACAAGAGTATTGGCTTTAAGTTGTGCCAGGAGATCTTCAGGTGGGATATTAGGAAATACTACCTCTCACTGTGCTAAGGTATTGGAACAGGCTGCCTGGGAGGGTGGTTTCACTTTCCCTGGAGGGACAGAAAGAAAAGGGTAGATGTGGCACTGAGTGACATGGTTTAGTGGGTATGGTGATAATAGATTGATGGCTGGTCTAGATATCCTTAGTGGTTCTCCAACTTTAATGGTTCTATGATTCTATGAAATACAAACGTGTACATATCTGAGATGCTCACAGGCACACAAAACACAGCCACCAGCACTCAATCATCAGCTTAACACTCATCATGAGAACTTGGTGAAATCAAAGTCATGTTTTTATACACAGGAAGATGTGTAGACTTTCACAAAGAATAAGACAGAAAGGAAAAAAAGTAAGATGGGAGAAAAAGCCCCCTCCTTCCCAGTCCAACTGTTTGGAGGAGAAGGAATGTTGTAATCCCTCCATAAATCCTGGTATTCTTCAAATCCAGAAATCAAGATTAATAGAGATTCAAATGTTGAATTTAAAAATTTTTAATTTGTCTAACTCTATAAGAATTCAAATGAATCGAGTCCTGATCTTTAAGTCAAATTTAAATTTGCTTTGATAACAGAAACAACTAATTTTGCCAGGTACATTCTACGAGCCACCATTAACTGGACCATAATTTTGAGAAAGCAGCTCTCTTAGTTGCATAATTTTGTACACTTCAAAGGAACAACTTAGAAAGCTTGCAACTTTTAGTGTTGCTTTGGGTCATGAAAAGCTTTTGCAAACTTTAAAATCACCTAACCAGATACAATAAAAATGAACTGGAAAAAATTCTTACAAAGATAAAATGTACATTCTGCATTAAAATTTTAGTATCAGTTTTATCACTTGTTTCTGGGAAGTAAAGTATGTATCTGACCAGAGGCAAACTTCAACAAGACCATGAGGAATAACAATTTGGGAAATTTTACTGCATTCCAAATATAGTAAATGCAGTGTTTAAGGAATGAGAATCTTTATCAAAAATTACACTGGACTTCCATGAGAAATTAACAGTTCATGACTAAAGCATAACTAATAAATTAGTAATATGATAGGAAATTAGGATGATTATTTCATCCGATATTCTCAAAATGCTTCTACTATTAGGTACTTCAATTTCAGTACTCATTAATCAATCTTGGATATGCTAGAGTTTTTTTTATGAGATCTATAGACTGCTGGCTAGAACATTAGGATGATATTTTAAAAAAGAAATACAAGTTTTTGTAATTTCAGAGAACAAAGTGTCCAAACAAACCTAGAAATTCAATTAAGTTTTCTACTGTTAAGAATGCAGGGGGTCTTATTGTTCTCAGATAAAATCAGCACATTAAGGAATGTGACAGTAACAGGCAAACATTAATCTGCATCAAATAACATATGCAAAGTATTTGTTAATCTATTCCAAGAGCAAATTTAAAATTCATAACAAACAGCCAATAACAAAAAAACATTATACCTCCTAGGTCTTTTAGTCGGGAGTCAATCCCTGAACAAAAGGTGCAGAGCCTGTAAGAAACAAGAGTCTACGTTATATGTGTGATGTGATTATTTCATATCTAGCTTCACAACTCATTTTGAAATAACACTACTTTTGAACAACTCAGTGCAGTATGTAATAAAATAAAAGATGCAGAAGTTGCATTTACATCAGTTTCATGTAAGAAGAACATCTTGTGTAATCTTGAGGACTTCTATAACTACCTTTCACAATTTTACTTTAAGAAACATTTTCAGAACAACGAAGCACAGCATAGGATTAAACACTAAAATATACACCTTTATAAGCATGATAAGGGTGGACAAAAATATTAGTAACTATATACAATCATTAACTGAACAAAAACTTTTTTTACTCTTTCCTTGGATATAGTTCTTATTGAAGAAATTAAAATAAAACTTTTATTCATGAATCATATTCTACTCAGTTCTGTGGCATCACTCTGAGCACTCTCTGCACTTCTGGTCCCCACAATACAAAAAAGACTGTTGAAGTTCTTGAAAGTACCCAAAAGAGAGCATCAAAGCTGGTAAGAGGGTTACCAGCATGTATGTCCTGTGAGGATACTTGGGCTGTTCAGTCTGGAGAAGCTGAAAGAAGATCTCATTGCTTGCTGCAGCTTCCCTGACTGGAGAAAGCAGAGGTACCAGGCTACTCCTACTCCTGAGAACTGATGGCCACATGTGTGGGAATAGCACAAAACTGTTCCAGGAGAGACTCAGACCAGGCATTAGGAAAAATGCCTTTACTGTGGAGGCGGTAAACTATTGGAATAGGCTTCCTAGTGAAGTGTTGATGTACCATGCCACTTAGCTTTCAGGAGGCATTTAGATAATGCCCTCATTAATATGCTTTAACTTTTGGTTAGCCATGAAGTGGTCAGGAAACTGGACTTTTCTTTGTAGGTCTTTCTAAAATCAACTGGGAGCAAAAGGAAATTACTAGCGGGGGTAAACAGCTTTCCCTAGATGCCCAACTGTATATGTAAAACTAAATGCAAAGCTACCCAAAAAGCTACTGTAAATGTAAAACTACCACATATGTGGTGTGCATTTAAGTACAGGAAAGACCAAATATAAATTGAAACTGAAGCATTTTCTCATTTTCTCCTGGATCAATAAGCAGGTGTCAACTCTAGGCCAATGTCTAAAATAATACTCTATTTGTGATTCAAAAATAGTTGCAAAGCTTTACTTCAGAGTATTTCCTGAGTTAGAGATCTACCACACAGATGTACCATTTTTGACTCTGTATTAGACCACAATCCATGGACCACATGGGAACTCCTTGCCCAATCTTAAGTACTCAGGATTATATCATACCACAGTGATACTTCAAATTAAGAGGTTGAATGAAGAGAAGGTCTGTATAGTTTGGCTTCTAAATGCCTTTGTCACCGAGATCTACGTCAGGAAAAAAACAGAAAACAAAACAAAACAAAAAAACATAACTAACTAACAAGACAAGGACAGGCTTAACTCCAGAGGGTTACCTCCTGACAAAAGCAATTTTAGTGACCATATTTACTTAATCACTGAGGATTTTACCTGCCGTGAGTCTTGGTCAGCTATTCCCAACTTTAAGAACTTAGTGCTTTAAAAACAAACAAGCAAAAAAACCCATTTCATTGCAGTATCTGGATACAAATGAAAACCATTTTAACTCCAGAGAAAGGATCTGTATAGTACTGCCATTCATCTCAACAAATAATGGTAACTTTCTCAGAATACTGAATTCTAACCATTCAAGACGTTATAGAAAGGCCTTCAAAGGTTTCCAGTCTTCACCATGATCAGTTTCTGTGACCAGACCACAAACTTTGGTTTTATCATAAAATAATCAACCACTTGAATAATTTTTAAAACTATTTAATGTCCCCTATAAGCCTTCTGCACCACAAACATCTTTCATCTTCAAAAGACACAGAATTTATAAAATATACACAAACTTCTGTGTTAAGTTCAGTAAAGCTGATATAATGAAAATATGTTGTGTTTTCTGAAGGAAAGGAACGCTAACACCAGCACGAGACATTGTTAGAATTAAAGAGCATTTCTGTTTTTCACAGCCAGGCATATACCTATAATTAATCAAGTCCAGACCAACAATCTGTAACCTTGCTTCAGATGACTGACAATTTGAATCCTGGAAATATGTCTGTATTCTATAAATAGCTAAGAAAAGCTTGACTTGTCTACTATTAACTAGGTAGCACAAATCAGTCAGTAATTGCCCTGTAAACACTTGAGCAAAAGTGACCACACTAGGTTCTAATGACTCACACTCAAACCATACTAGGGACCATAAAATTTTACAGAGTTCTCTTAGAGATGGACTGGTATCAGACTTACACAGGAACAGGACAAGATGCACAGGATAAATAGTGAAAATTCTGACCTACTATTGGACTGGGTAGCCCATAAACAGTGTTGGCTCTTCATTCCTTGACATACTCAGAATTGAACAAGTCTCTGAACAACCTACGCTTTGTCCTCCTTTAAGCAAAGTTTTGGACTAGGAAACCTCTACTTCCATGTATGATCTAAGAATCAATACTTTCAGTTTTATTAAGAACAGTACAGCTAGGAAATTTTGTATTGAATCACAGAAGCAAAGGCTGTAAAAAATAAAAATTAAAATTAAAAGAGATCATTCTCCAGTTAAATTATACTATTAACAACCAATATCTGTTCAAGAGCATTTTAGAATTGGGTTTGTTAATGACAAGTGAACAAACATCCAGAGAAGAATGGAAGGGAAAGTATATCTACAAGTCTCCACAGACACAGACGGGGCCACAAACAGCAAAATCCGAGTGAAATATTTTTATCGTGACTTCATAAAACAATCTTGAGTAAATCTCTTAAAACAAAGATATTTCCTGAGGAAGGATGAGGTGATGCTAGCACGAAAAAATGTTTTACAAGTAAAAGTGCATAGCGAATATTTATTATCTGGAGGTAATAGAAAACTTGGTTTATTGATTAATTTGCTCAAAATCTTTCAATTTGAACTGTGATTAGTTCAAAACTCTCAAAAAAGTTCATTAAGTTGCACAATTCAACTGTGAACAAGGAAGCACATCTACAAATAGCAATTCTTTTTTTTTTAATTATTATTTTTTTAAAGTTCACATTTCATAACAATTTGGCTCGAAAAAAAAACTAATTTTAAGATTCAGCAATCTCTATCTATGTTTTACTCTTGGTCTTCACAGACACAGTGCTTTGTTATTTCATGTTTCTCCTAAAAGAAGAGCTGTATTTCAAAACCAGACAGTAAAGAGTTCATGCAATTGGACACTTCGACTGTACGTTTACTTTTTGTAAATTGCTTACTCAGGTGACACAACCTTTTTACTTGGAAGGAAATAAATAACTGGTACTAAAGCATCTACAGTTAAAGATTTTGGAATACAAGGACACACAGGTTCTTCCATAACATAAGACAAACCTAAGAAATTGAGGCTTTGAAAGTACAATAGAATGGTCATATTTCAAAGGCATTTCTACTTAAGTTATTAAGTTTCAACAACTTCATTGAAATAGTTAAAACAATAGAGGAGCTTAACAACCAGCCTACCTGAATGCCATCAAATATTTTTACTATCAGAAAATGTATTTTTACAAGAACTTAAAAAGAAGAGTCTTATGATGAAGTGAGAAGCTTTCCAAGCATAAAAACTCTAAAATATCAACACAAGAGAACTTTGACACTGATTTAAATATCTAAAAATATAGTTTTTCACACAGTCTCAGTAACAGAGCATCACAGAAAAAATTTACTATGCCAACATCCCAAACTAAAACATAGGCTATGAATATACATACATACTCAAAAGAACATGGGGTAGCTTGAACAAACTAATAATATTAATTCTCTTCAAATTAAATAATAAGATAGGAGAATTTGAGATATTTTTTTTGCTTTTTCTTACTTTTTATTTTTAAACTAGTGCTATGGGAAAAAAAAATCATCTAAAAATGTGAGCTTCAAAATTAAATAGATCCCCTTGATTTGTATTTAAAAATGAAGCTTTTCATCAAAACATGGAACAGTAAAGATCAAAATAAAGAACACTTTTAAATATAATAGTTAAACATTACGAAAGAAATAGTGTTTTTCCTTATTTTTCCTATGTTTCAGAAGAGAAGGCTCTGGGGGTACTTCAATTACTTCCAATAACTGAAGAGAGCCTACAGGAAAGCTGGGTTGGGATTTTTTAGAAGGGCATACAGTGAAAGGAAAGGGGGAAAGGGTTTTAAACCAAAAGAAGGTAGGTTTAGACTAGATATTAGGAAAAAATTCTTTACAGTGAAGGCGGTGAGACACTTGAACTGGTTATCCAGAGAGGCTGCGTATGGCCCCTTCTTAGAAACATTCAAAGCCAGGCTGTATGGGGCTTTGAGTAATTCGGTCTAGAAGGAGGTGTCCCTACCTATAGCAGGTGGAGTTGGGACTAGATGATCTTAAAAGTCCCATCTAGCCCAAACCTGATTCTATGAAGACTGAGATGACAGAAATTCAGGTTTCAAAGAGTGAACTATATGCAGTCTCGTATCTTTTAACTTCATTATTTACTGGGCAATTACACTGGTTTAGTCTACCAACTCACCAACGAAGCCCACTTTTGTTTCACTGAAGTCAGCAGGAAAAATTCCGACTACTTGAAGAACTGCAATTCATACTCTACACTTACACTCTATAATATCAAAAACAAAGGTATTTCACAGCTTGAAACTTCAGACTGTTTCTGTGGGTGTTTTTTTGCAGATTTTAGCAAAAGCATTATTGTAAATAAACAAATTCACATTTGAGAACATGATATTTCTCAGAAAAAAGCATAAAAATCAGAGCTATTTCCTTTCTCTCCTTAGAAATTGACATAATTAAACATACCTTCATTTTTTAATGTAAATTGTCATTTATCATCTAGTCTGCTAACCTGGAAACTGTAATCAGATCACAGTGTATTTTACATTAAAAGAAAGGTAATATATCTGAATAATTTAAACATAGCTGCTACCTGCTGAAGAGTCTCCAAAATAAAAGCACATTATATTTTTGCAATATTCTTCTTAATTAAAAAAAAAAATTGCTAATAGAAAAAATAAACATCTCGAATCCATCTTAAACACACTGCAATTCATTAAGCAGACTGGCAGATCAATATCTTTAAAATTGTAAAAACAATTTGAAACTGTGAGTTTACAGTTTTGCCTTGGCCTCTTTCAAATGTGACTGATTTTTAAAACTGTGCTCTAAAAGTATTAAAAAAAATACATTTTTTATGCTTCCTATGGCAATTAAGAAAAAAAAAAAAAAAAACTATAACTGCATCTTAGCCTGTGTATAAATTCACCTTACCACTGGGGCAATGTGTGTTGAGGAGGAGTTGGAGAGGAGGGGGTTGAAATGGGTTCTCTTCAAGGAGACAGACAATTTAAATGGAACTGTTTCCAAAATTAAATGTAACTTGACTCTGTTTCTGAAATTTTCAAGCATATTAATTCCTGTATTTTCTCCTTTCAAAGGAAATGGTTCTTGAACTAGTACTGCTTTTTTTTCCATTCCAGCAAAGAATAAGTCAGGCCTCTATGTACCTTACAAGCAGTTCAGACATGTATTTATCAATTCATCAAATCTCATGTACCTGAAAAATCAGTAAAGTCACATAAAAATATTACAAACTTTTTAAGCATTCATTAACAAGAGAAAACTACTCACAAAAATCTTAAAACAGATTATTTATCTTTTAGCAATAAAATGAACCTGATCCTAGACTACTAATACCTCGTCTTGTTATTCACCACCCAGCAATTCTTATTCAATTTCCATATGGATTTTCTAGGTTGACAGTAATTTTTAAACACAAGTATTTATACTGACAATTTCTGAGAAGCTTTCTGCAGTTATTTTAACAGTACATTAGTTCTAACCATGTCAGCAAGAACTCATCCAGAAGAAAAAAGATTCACATCAAACTTTTTAAAGTTTCCCACATAACAGACAGAAAAAGGACAAAAACTTGAGCCCCCATCAGCAGACAGCATAACAGGCCACAAATTTTCACTGAAAACCAGTCCTTCAAATCAGACACAATTCTTCTTCAATTTGTAATCTGTCAGAACAAAACGCTGATTTTTCACTCAAGCAGCTTACAGAACTGAAGGCAAGTCAACTACAGCATGTATATCACATGCAAAAGTCTTTAGAAATTCTACATTACTTCCATTTTGGAAATTGTACGCATATAAAGTTCTGTTTAAAGCTTAACTGGCAAGCTAAAATATTATGTACTGAAATATTTTGCTTTCCATCTAGAACTATATTGGATTCCTATCCTCAGAGACAGGATTCCCAGTTTACTTCTCTCTGTACATACACACTGACCTCAAATATTGTAGCCTAGGAAAGTATTGTTTAAAAAAAAAAAAAAAAAGGAAGCCAATTAAAAGAAGCTGACTTTAGGTCTCAGAAATTTTTAAAAAAAGAAAAAACAAAAGAAACACTGTACTATCTATACTATACTATACAATAAACAAAAAAATTATGTAAGAGAAAATTTAGGTATGTAGTGTATTTAGTACTAAAATTTGAAGTCATGCAATTCCAATCCTTCATTCTAGTCCCACCACAAAATAAATGAAATCAATTCTAGTAGCGCAGTTTGGCTAAGTATTTAATGAGGAAATGCTTAACTGGAAAGAGCAACAGAGGGACTGTTCCCCAGACAGAGGGACTGCCCAGAACTGCAGCAGTTCAAGTCTCTGGCTGCAGGGAGTGCCTGAGTCTGCTGCTGCTGGGGGGTGATGGGAGGGATGCCACCTGTGCAAGGTGCGAGTAGGTGGATGAGCTGCTCAGCCTTGTGGTGGAGCTTAGGGAAGAGGTGGAGAGGTTAAGATCCATTAGAGACTGTGAGAGCGAGATAGACTGGTGGTGTAACTCTCTGTGAGAAACAAGCAGAGATTGCAACCCCCAGCCTGTAGTGGACTCTCTCCCTTGCCGTAGTCAAACTGAGAGAGCTGACTTGGGAGAAGAGGAATGGCAGCAGGTCCCACCTCAGCGACGCAGGCGGTGCCCTTCCCGACCTACCTCGGTTCCTCAGGTGCTTCTAAGTAATAGGTTTGGAACCCTGGAACTGGAGGGTGAGGAGGCTGAGAATGAGGGGGTGGAACAGCCTCTGAGATTTCCTAAGGAGAGGCAGTCAGCTCCACGCTTGAAGACCGCCTCTTCGGTAAAGAACGAAAGGTGATAGTTGTAGGTGATTCCCTTCTAAAAGGAACTGAGGGCCCGATATGTCGACCTGACCCCACCCAGAGGGAAGTGTGCTGCCTCCCTAGGGCACAGGTCAGGGACATCTCTAGAAAGCTGCCTGGGCTAATTCGCCCATCTGACTACTACCCCTTATTGGTAGTTCAGGTTGGTAGTGATGATGCTGCCAAGAGAAGCCTAAGGGCTATCAAGAATGACTTCAAAGGTCTGGGGAGGGTACTGGATGGTACGGGAGTGCAGGTGGTCTTCTCTTCTATCCCTTCAGTGGCAGGGAAGGACACAGAGAGGATCAAAAAAACCCTCCACATCAATAAATAGCTTAGAGGCTGGTGCAGGCACAAGAACTTTGGTTTTTTTGACCATGGGGCAATTTACTTGGCTCCTGGCATGACAGCTGCAGATGGAGCTCACCTGTCTGCAAGGGGTAAAAGTATCCTAGCCCAGGAGCTGGTGGGCCTCATCGAAAGGTCTTTAAGCTAGGTAAGAAGGGGGAAGGGGACAAAATGAGGGCTGCTGAGGTTCAGGTAGTTTGAGGTTCAAAAGTGAGCTTGATGGGTGATGAGGGTGGAGTTCGAAGGGATGGAGTGTGGCAGGGGAATGCTGCTTCCCTGAAGTGTCTATACACTAATGCACGCAGTATGGGAAATAAACAGGAAGAGTTGGAGATCTGCGTGTGGTCGCACGGCTACCATCTAATTGTGATCACGGAGATGTGGTGGAACAGCTCGCATGACTGGAATGTTGTCATGGAGGGCTATGTGCTTTTTAGGAAAGATTGGACGGCGAGGCGGGGTGGTGGAGTTGCTCTTTATGTGAGAGAGCAGCTAGAATGTATTGAACTCCACCTGGGGAGAGCAGTGTAGCAGTGGAGAGCTTGTGGGTAAGAATCAAGGGGCGGGCTGGTATGGCTGACACTGTTGTGGGAGTGTGCTACAGGCCCCCTGATCAGGAGGAGGAGGTTGATGAGGCCTTCCACAAGCAATTGGAAGCAGCGTCACGATCCCAGGCGCTGGTGCTTATGGGGGACTTCAATTATCCAGATATTTGCTGGAAAAGCAATGTGGCCAGGCATGCGCGGTCCAGACGGTTCCTGCAATGTGTTGAAGACAACTTCCTGATGCAGGTGGTTGAGGAATCGACGAGGAGAGGGGTACTGCTGGACCTTATTCTCACTAATAGAGAAGGGCTTGTCAGGGAAGTAAAGGTCGGGGGCAGCTTGGGTTGTAGTGACCACAAGATGGTGGAGTTCAAGATCCTAAGTGGAAGAAGTAAAGCAAAAAGTAGGATTGCTACCCTGGACTTCAGGAGAGCCAACTTTGATCTCTTCCGGGACCTACTTGGAGCTATCCTGTGGGCTAGGGTGTTAGAAGGGAAGGGGGCCTGTGAGAGCTGGTCGGCATTTAAGCAGCTCTTCTTCCAAGCTCAGGATTGGTGTGTCCCTGTGAGGAAGAAATCGGGAAAGGATGGCAGGAAACCTGTGTGGATGAGCAAGGAGCTCGTGCGCAAACTCAAAGGAAAGAAGAAGGCCCATGAAATGTGGAAAAAGGGTCTGACTACTTGGGAAGAATATAGGAATGTTGTCAGGGCCTGCAGGGATGTGACAAGGAAGGCTAAAGCCCACCTGGAATTAAATCAGGCGAAGGGGATAAAGGATAATAAAAAAGGCTTTTTAAGTACGTTAACAGTAAAAGGAAGACTAGGGAGAATGTGGCTTCCCTGCTAGGTGACGGAGGTGTTCTGGTAATGGGGGATGCTGAGAAGGCGGAGATACTGAATGCCTTCTTTGCTTCTGCCTTCAGTGAAAAAGCTCCCCCTCAGGAATCCGAGACCCTGGAGGTTAGTGAGAGGATATGGGGAATGGAAGACCTCTCTACAGTCACGGAAGAGGTAGTCCGAGAGTGCCTAGGCAACACCAATGTTCACAAATCCATGGGACCCGATGGGATGCATCCACGGGAGCTGAGGGAGCTGGCAGAGGTGATTGCTGAACCGCTTTCTGTCATCTTTGAGAGGTCGTTGAGGACAGGGGAGGTGCCTGAAGACTGGAGGATAGCCAATGTCACTCCAGTCTTCAAAAAGGGCAAGAAGGAAGATCCAGGCAATTATAGGCCAGTCAGCCTCACCTCTGTCCCTGGAAAGGTGATGGAACAGCTTGTGCTGGATGTCATCTCCAGACAACTGGAAGAAGAGGAGGTTATCAAGAGTAGTCAGCACGGGTTCACAAGGGGGAGATCGTGCTTGACCAATCTGGTAGCCTTCTATGATGTTGTCTCTGGCTGGATGGATGGGGGGAGAGCAGTGGATATAGTCTACCTTGATTTCAGCAAGGCATTTGATACTGTCCCCCACGACATCCTTATAACAAAGCTGAGGAAGTGTGGGATAGATGAGTGGACAATGAGGTGGGTTGAGAACTGGCTGACTGGCAGAGCGCAGAGGGTCATCGTTGGTGGTGCAGAGTCCGGTTGGAGGCCTGTAACCAGCGGTGTTCCTCAGGGGTCTGTGCTGGGTCCGGTCTTGTTCAACATCTTCATCAATGACCTTGATGAGGGGATAATGGCCACCCTCAGCAAGTTTGCTGATGATACAAAGTTGGGAGGATTGGCTGACACGCCTGAAGGCTGTGCTGCCATTCAGCGAGACCTGGACAGGCTGGAGAGCTGGGCAGAAAAAAAACAGATGAGGTTTAACAAAAGCAAGTGTAGAGTCTTGCATCTGGGCAGGAATAATTCCATGCACCAGTACAGGTTGGGGAATGACCTGCTGGAGAGCAGCTCTGCTGAGAGGGACCTGGGTGTCCTGGTGGATGACAGGTTGGCCATGAGCCAGCAGTGTGCCCTTGTGGCCAAGAGGGCCAACAGCATCCTGGGGTGCATTAAAAAGAGCATGGCCAGCTGGTCGAGGGAGGTGATCCTCCCCCTCTACTGTGTCCTGGTAAGGCCTCATCTGGAGCACTGCGTGCAGTTCTGGGCTCCCCAGTACAAAAAAGACAGGGATCTCTTGGACAGAGTCCAGTGGAGGGCCACGAAGATGGTGAAGGGCCTGGAGCATCTCTCCTATGAGGGAAGGCTGAGTGAACTGGATCTGTTCAGCCTTGAGAAAAGAAGACTGAGAGGGGGCCTAATCCAGGTCTACAAGTATCTAAGGTGTGGGGGGCAGAATGGCGAGGATGGACTCTTTTCAGTAGTCAATGGTGACAGGACAAGGGGAAACGGCCGGAAACTGCAGCATAGGAAGTTCTGCACAAATGTGCGCAAGAACTTCTTTACAGTGAGGTGACGGAGCACTGGAACAGGCTGCCCAGGGAGGTGGTGGAGTCTCTTTTTCTGGAGATGTTCAAGACCTGCCTGGATGCCTACCTGTGCGACCTGGTGCAGAGAACCTACTTTGGCAGGGGGGTTGGACTCGATGATCTCTGGAGGCCCCTTCCAACCCCTACAATTCTGTGATTCTGTAACAGTTTGGCAACTGTACACAGAAATATGGATATCTTTTACCTACGTTCATCTTCTTCAAAAATCTTGAAAAGGAACAAAATGAATTTAAAATCAGTGTGTACCACATCATATTTATTTGCAAGCTAGCAGAACTTGAAAAGCTATAGCCTTTACTGAAAGTTCTTTAAGCAACAGAAGCTCTACACAGTACTGAATAATAGGTGTCAAATAAATCACTCTATAACCGATATTTTTCTAAATTGATATATATTTCTTGGTGTCCCCTATTCTATGAATATTTTCGCTGTCATTACAGTAATGAAAGAGGTTTTGTTCTTATTCTTCTTCATACAGTTCTTTAAGTTCAAAACCAGTTTACAGAGAAACTACTGTTATGCCACCTGGATTGTCACAAGTCCCCAGGAAAAGTTGGGTTTCACCTGAGGGACATGGTGGGAGTGACTGCCAAGACACTTTTCATTATTTATCGGCAATCA